TGCGGCGTGAAATATCTAAGAATTTCTACTCGAAGAAAAAGTAACAAGACGACGCCTTTCGTCAGGCAACGCCTGAACGAGACGACCAACTTTAATTTAAAATGCCCAGAAGGGGCGGTAACCTTTACGCTGACGAAAGACTTGGATTTTTAAGCAGACCACACCTTTACGGCTAATGGCGAAGGATCACCCAATAGTATGGGAGACTTCGGACATAATTGCGATCCTCTGCCAACTAGTGCAGTCGGATAGTATTCAGAACCCTAATCAGAGTCCAATTAGTTACTAAGTCTAAAACTCTAAAGCCCGACCAACAAGCTCCAGCCCCATTAATTGCTACTGAGAATAATTAAAGTTAGGCAGCTGTGCGACCGCTTGAGACGGCCCCGGCCGGGAACTGCCGGCTAAAACGTAAAGCACAGACGCCGGAGTCTGGTTGACTAACACGACTCGTAGTTGTCATTGATCCGGTTCTAACGGTCGGGAAATAGTAGCCCATTAATTTCTCCAGAAATTAATCTCTAATTTGGGGTAAATCGGTCTGGACTAGGGTATACAGGTGCAGACCGAAATTTGATATGAATACTTGGGTAGAAAAACATCAGCCACTGCGGGATAACCACGCAATATTAACTTGACTGCCAACAGGCAGCCAGTAGTATAACCTACGTAATTATTTACCATACTGCTGTATGGCACAGTTGCAAGGGGTTCGGCTCACGAATGAGTCTTCTGACATTCCTTATGTGCTTTCTGCTACATACACCATACTTTAACATGTAGCTTTTTTTACTTTGCTCAGGAATTAATCTCTAACTTAGGGGAAGTCACTCTGGACTAAGGGTTGCACGCGCAGACCGGAAGTTGATATGCATATTTGAACTGAAGTCTATCAGTCACTTCGGGAAACCATGCAATATTCAGAAGGTATGCCAAAGAGTAGCAGAATATCGGCAAAACACGCCTGTCTGGATAAGGATCTAGTACGTGTGCTGCCAGTGTGGTAAGTACCAACGTAGGTCTGGAAACAGAGTAAACAGGCGATATATGTTTGCCAACGGTGATCCTGGTCGTGTACATGCAGCACTGATCGACAGACAGACAGACAGACAAAATTTGAACCAGTGTGTACTTTCGAGAATTGTAAAGCGAAAAAACTGCTAGCCAATGAACAAAAGGGCCAGATAATGGTGATGACGGCAGGATAGCGGAAGAAGCAACCTACCTTAGCAGTTGCACGAGAGTGGGAATGGGGAGGTACTGACCGACAGCGGAGGCAGCTGGCTTTGCATTGCACAACTGGCGCAGGGCCAAGGAGGCTTCCGTTTGGGTGTCTATGTCCTGGGTGGTCTGAAGTAAGCGCACTAGGCTCTCCAACACCTAAAAAACAGTCGTAGATTATAGAACTCCTTAAGCATATATATATATATTGTAGGCGGAAATACATTACCTATAAAACCAAAGGAGACTGGAATGGCCATTTCTGGATTAGTAGCCATCATCAGACAGCCACGCCCAACCCCAAGGGTGGCGAACCCTGAGGCTCGAACCCGCGACCTCTTTAGTTAAAAGTCCAACGCTTTAACGATTGCGCCACGGGCTCGTTGCCTTACCGGTTTCCATTAGGAATATGAACAATGGTAGACAGGGGCTCCTCGATCGGTTAAGAAACACGTACACATCGTTATGCCTTGGGGTTCGCTCTCGAGCCTCACCAGCAGCCACTCAGCGGCTAGCGTATATTATAGGCAGAAATGCATTATCGAAAAAGACGAGAGGCACTGAAAAAGCCATTTCTGGTTCATTAGCCGTAACCAGCCAGCCATCCCAAACTTCTAACAAAAATGCATACGTCAGTTTACCATAAGTAGTAACATGGATAATAATGCCAGGGGATGCAAACCTGGCTTAATTACCCTCACCAGCAACATTTAAAGACGGGCTTTTGAAAAGGAGCCACTATTTTTTCTGCTCTCTTCTCGCATTTAAATTCTTTTAAACATGCATCGGTTTGCCTATTTTGGCACTTACGGTACGGCCTAAAATTCGTGTAACATACCGACATACGCGAAAGATTGATACTCTCTTGGTAATCGGCATTGAGTAAGGTTGTAATACTGATAAGCATGTAGTCTATTCTGAAGTCATTTGAGTCACGATAGAATGCTGGCTTTTTAAAGAGCTTCTTCCTAACCACTTACAAAAAGTATGTACTGTACAAAATGGCTACCTAAGTACTATGCATTTTACCATTGATTTTGACTGTTTTTATAAATCCCAATATATTTTATGGAAAACGCAAACAAAACGTTTATTTCCTCCTACTCGTTTGATAGGAAATTACGCTTTCTTTAAATTTCATACTTAAAGAAATGGCATCTTTCCGTTTTAAAAAGGCTTCTCAATTGCCGAATAAGTCTGAAACCTACTGACTGCTACACTTGAATTCAAGGTTTACAAACTGCCCGCTGTGTACATCCTGTTTAAGATGAAGAACATTTTCGCCTACAGTTTGAGGGAGAAGACACATTGTTTTCATAAAATGCTGCAATCGATGCGAGTCATGTTTTATACATTATAGACAGCATTGATAATTCGACGGATACGATGTATTATGAATGAACACCTCACAATCGTAAAAAAGCTCATAAATGAAAAGTCCTATCGTAAACGAAATGGGAATTTTGCCGAAATAAGCTCATAATTAGAAACCTTCTCAAACGAAAGATACCCCTCCTTGAAGTATAAAATTTAAAGAAGGCGTAATTTCCTACCAAACGAGTACAAGAAATATTTTTCGTGAGTGCTTTCCATAAAATATATTTGAATTTATAAAGACAGAACGAAGCTCGTTAAAAAGTCGGCATCCTATCGTGACTGAAATGACTTTAGAATAGTCTACTTGCTTATCAGTATTACAACCATACTCAATGTCGATTACCGATAGAGTATTAATCTTTCGCGTATTTCAGTATGTTACACGAATTTTAGGCCGTACTCTATATGCCGATTTCTACACCATTTTATTTATTCGAACTAAATAATGAGATCAGCAGCGCACGACGCTAGCAGTGTTTTCTAGGTAGTTCATTTTGGCCCAAATTTTGTGACTCGTTAAGGGAATATGTTTTATGATTTGCAGCTTTTTGCCATTATGCATCGTTTCAGGTTTTCTGGTGTTTTGGTTTATTAGCGCTGATATTTTTGGAATTACGCCTTCAAAATAATGCGTACCTCTCTCTCATTGATACTAAAAACAAACAATAGTAAGGGGAAAATGCACTGCCGAATTAATTGCTCTCACCGGCCAGTCCTATACAAAGAACAGCAAAAAAAACTACAAAGTGATGATTCCGGTCTTTCTTGTCTATGAGGATATACCCTGAACATTACTGATTTCTCATCAGTAGACCACCGCCTGATAAGCCTAAAGATCAGATTATAAGGGGAGAAACAGTCCTTATTGCAGTCATATTGGTAAAGAACCGTTCCAACATAACATTAAGCAGGCATACTTTTGCAGGTA